AMCYWAWTYMRGKTTWAWWAMSAARKWAWTTWWKTTTKRWTTWAWWAWWWWAWTTTTTTATGTTAGAACACAATGATTATCCTAATTATAYTTTAGATTTTTTATATTTAAAATGAAATRTTTATCCTGTATTTGATTATGTTTATCTGCAGTTAGTCAATGTAGAGCTTCARTAAGTTGTACTTAAGCATTATTTYTTTCTTGTAATATTGAATTTTAAGTAATGTGCATCAATAAACAGTACTTCATGTATAAAAAATGATTTTTAAGAGKTTTTGTCAAATGTTTTATAATATAGTATAGATATTATGGGTTTAATTTTATTGAGTTATAAACAATAACCAAAAAAATTCTTTGTTTAAGGTTGTTTGGCTGGTTTTACATTAAGTCATGGACAAAGCTTTTGTATGGATTTCTATCTATATAGATTCGAAAAGTTTTTTGCTTGAATGAGTTTTTTCATAGATAGAAGAAATGTRTTATTAATTGGGAGGGGAAATGTTCAGAAAAAACTTGGATTTMTGYATAARACTYTCCTAGAAACTTACTGAATAAGTCAATACCAAATAGTCATGTGTAGTTGTAACAACTTGTCCYACATGGATAAAATGTGAAAACTGTTAGCTCTTTATAAGCCTCAATTAATGGTTTATTAAAAAAATTTATCATGTTTTTAAGTTAGAGGAACCAATGGGYTGTTTAYCACATGYTTACMGACAAAATTCAACACTATCACTTATTACCGGGTAAGATTTTAGTCCATCAAAACGATTAGTATGCAATAATTTACCCGGTAAGCTTTAACCATGATAAGATTCTTAGTCAACCAATAAGGTAATATGACTTGTTCAAGATGAGCGTAAAAAACTCATAAAATAAAATAGAAAATAGCACGAATAAGTTTAAATTTAAATATTTTATTTATATGATTAAATTATTCGAATTATTTGCCATGTGACATCACATGTAACAACATTTATTTAACATCTCGTGACATAAATTATAATCGTTTCATTAATTGTGATTGGTTTATCTTAAAAGGGGTTTCTTTAAAAAAAAATTAATGCATGTTTATARACATTTATCCAATAAATATTTATCAGATAAATGTTGGTTATGATCRAGAATCTTATCTGATAAGACCAATTAGCGACTCTTATCCGATAAGTAAAGACGACGACTGTTACCCTCTAAGTGTTTACCGGTAAATTGTTGCATACGATACTGTTTTAATGAATTACACTCTTACCCGCTAAAGTAAGTTAGAGTGACGAGTCTTACCGATAAGTGCTTACCGAATAGGCATTTAAGTATTATGATAAAACTCAGTACGTCGATAAATTTTAAAGATAAAATATGTGCAAACCTTTGTTTGTTACTGTCATACGTTTAGAAAATGCCTATTTCTTTTTATTAACTTTATTATAAATTAATGATACGGGTTATATTTTATTTTAATTTTACTTAAA